GAGAGAGAGAGAGAGAGAGAGAGAGAGAGAGAGAGAGAGAGAGAGAGGCAAAAAGAGACAGAACAAACACAACTTGTAGTTGGTTATCTCCTTCCACCATGTGGGTGCCAGGGATCCAATTTAAGTCATCAGGCATTGTAGAAAGTATCTTTGCTCACTGAACCATCTTGCTAGCCCAGTGCTACCTTTAACAAAAAAAAAATTAGATGGTAAGAAAAATAGTTGTCAAATTATTTCACAGTTTAAATATTACTTGTGATTCTTCAGACTGTTGTATCTAGAGAAAAGGAGCTGGTCAATGGTGGCACAGGCCTTCAATCCCAGCACTCACGAGGCAGAGACAAGGAGATCTATGAGCTTGATGACATCCTGGTCTACAAAGTTTCGGGATAGCTAGGGCTACACAAAGAAACCCTGTCTTTAAAAAAAGAAAATTTTTGAGAAGAAAAAAGAGGAAAGAGGAGAGGAATTATAAGGGGTAAAAAGTAGTAACTGGTTGATAAATAGGGCTGTGTTTACAGGAAGCAGACCTGCTGTAGTGACAATTTCTACTCTGAACAAGAGTTGTTTTCTTTTCCACTTTTCTATTTATCTTCAAATCTACTCAATTGCTTTAATGTAAGATCTAATAAGAATTATGAAAAAACAGTTGATTTTCATTGACATTAGGAAAGATTCTATTAATCTCATTTACATAGGCACTTAACTATAGTTGTAAATTTTGTGTTAGTATTTGCTTTAGTGATCTGTGTTGTCCTATAAAAGGCAACAACAAAGCATCTCTAACAGTGTTCTCCATTCTGTGAACATGAAGGTGAGAATATTCATATTCTAAAGATCTGTTTGCTTAAATGGATTTCTGAATTAAAGCTTCAAAATGACAAATGAATACCACATCCTTTGATAAAATAGTGAATAATTAAATATCTGATTAGCTCAGGAAGACATGAAAATTAATTCAATAAGCATGGGAAACAATTTAGATAACCTCACAAAGATCTCTTGTTAACATTTCTGTGACCTAAGAACATGGGTTAGGATAAAGAAAATGGCTCCAGCTTCCCAGAGCATGAAAGCAATTAACTCATAAGATTCTCAGTACTGAGATTAGACTCTCTTCTGCTTATTGAAGTTTTGTTATATTAATACACTTTAAGCAAAAAGAAAAAAAGAAGTGCTGTTTATGTCGTTCATTGGTAGAACACTTTCCTGACACACATAAGGCCATGAGTTTAATGCCCACCCATCCTCGAAGAAAGTTGCCATCATAATGTACAGTATCAGCCAGGTTCTTAGCCTGTCTTGATCTTAATAAAAGCATTACTCTCTACTGGGGGTGGGGGGGCGGGGAGATTCTGTTCTATTTAGACTTAAGTCTTCCATCTGTTTGCTCCCTTTACCTGTCTGATTAAAGTCAATTTCTTGTTGCTGTCTTGTGACAAAGAAGAAATACCATCTGTGAAACATAAGTCACTTAGAAGCATAATTTTCAGGCTGGCGTTAGAGGCAAATGCCTGTCAACAGTAATATGTTGTTAACATTTCAACAGAAATGTTGATGATAGCAACCATTTAGCGATTAACATAGAGAATGTAATAGAACTGAGCATGGTGGTACATGCTTGCATTTTCATCAGTTCCAAGGTAAAGGCAGAACTACTTAATGAGTTTGCAGTTAGTCTGGTGTTTGTGAGACCTTTACTACAAAGATAGGTGGTGGGAAGTTGGAGAGATGGCTAGGTGGTTAAGAGCACTTAACTGCTCTTGCAGAGAACCCAGGTTGAGTTCCCAGCACCCACATAGTGACTGACAACCATTCATAAATCCAGTTGCAGTGAATTTGCTGCCACCATCTGATCTCTGCTGACACCGGACAGTTGGGTGGTACATATACAGACACATACATATAAAATAAATCTAAAATTTTTTTAATTAAAAGTTTTCAAAGAAAGGGGTGGAAATATGGCTAAGCAGTTAAGAGAGCTTATTTGCTGCATAATCATGAAGTCCAGCGTTTGGATAACTGTACCCACATATCAAGCTGGGTATCTGCAAACAGCTGTGCCTCCAGCTCCCAGGATCTGACACTCCTGGCCTGCATGTGTAAAGTCATGCTCATCTCTTCACCTGTGTTTATATTCATGCAAACACAGACAAATACAATGCTTTTTTACAATTCAAAGAAGAAAACATGATAGAACATTTTGAATGCACACTAAATATTTAAACTCAGTGATTGCCCCTTTTAGCTCGCTCTTTTTTTCCCCAAAGGCAGAGAAGCAAACTCAAATAATTTTTAAGTAAGTACCTTTTTAGGTACAAATCTATAAAAGCTTCATCTTAATTTTAGCATACTACACATTGTCAGACGTGTTATAATTTCAAAAATGAAAGCAAGTTTTGGGGTTTTTTTGTTTGGGTTTTTTTTTTTTTTTGATTTTTTTCAAGACAGAGTTTCTCTATGGCTTTGGAGCCTGTCCTGAAACTAGCTCTTGTAGACCAGGCTGGCCTCGAACTCACAGAGATCCACCTGCCTCTGCCTCCCAAGTGCTGGGATTAAAGGCATGCACCACCACCACCCAGTTCAAATTTTTGGTTTTTAATAGATTTTTTTAATGATATCATATCAGGAAAATCTTTAGGCCCTATAGTGCTGGTACCACATACAATTTTTGTCTGAACCCTGAGTAATTTATTGGGTTGTTTACTTGAAGAATGAAAGAAAAATAGTTAAAGCTTGTATTATTAATATTTCCTTAGACTAGTTATGACCTAAGTGAACACTTTAACAGAATGTTACAGATTTACATTGTAGCCAGTTATTACTGAATTACTCAATGCTGATAGTTTTAAGTTTTACAGCTATGTACCTTTCAAATGAAGCAGAATTGAATGGAAACATGGAATGAACACTACCTTGTGGAGATTGTTACCAGTTTGATGATTTTACTTAATTAAAAAGTATTTTAAAGTAGCGTATTTTGTACATAATAATGCGTTCTAGAGGATATTTTTTTTTCTTTCTGTCTCTTTCTCTTTCTCCTTACTACAACTCTAAAAGTTGGGTCTGATACCTAAATAAAACAGCCAAATCTCAGGCTAATTAAGTAAGGGTTCAAGGCCCCTTAGTTAAGTGAAGAATCCAGGACGTTACCATAGCACTCTTTAATACAATAGTGCATGTTCATAATCTGTGTGTGTGTGTGTGTGTGTGTGTGTGTGTGTGTGTGTGTGTGTGTGGTGCATGTTTATTACCACTTTGCTTCCTGTTCCACAGGAATGTTTCTTCTAAATAGGTTTCGCATCCCCTGTAATAGCTATTTTTAAAAGCTTTTCTTTACCCCTCAGTAACATTATTTTGACAAAAAAAAATGTTTCATTTTGTCCCTGGAATTTTTTTTTTTTTAGAAATTACTGTTCTTCAAAACCCTCTTATGACTAATTTGAACCTCAAGTCACATCCACAAATTGAGAAGGATCTTTATAAAAGGTCCACTCCTCTTTAATGAAGAGGGACCTGTAAGCAAACTATGCTTCCATCACCTGTAAAACTTTAATAAGCTCCTATCCTGCTTTTTGAGAGTTATTCAAGGGAGGAGCTAATGAATTTGAACATAGTTGAGATTTACACGTGAACAAATATGCACAAAAGTATAAACATGGACTGTTAGAAGACACTGAAGTAGTATACCTTACAGAGGCAAACAGATGAGGTGATTCCAAAGAATTGTAAGCATATCTTTATAGCTATCCAAAGATTCCTAAGAATATGCTATCCGGCCAGTGATTGTAAACCAATGCCTATGGAAAAGCATATAAAGTATATATAAAAAGAAATGCTGCAGTTTTATGTGGAAGGTTAAATTACTGTCCCCAATGCTAGCGGTAGCACTGAAGAGCCTTGTTTGTGCCTGTGTTTGACACCAACATTACTCCTAAAACTGTAGTTGGTTACCTGTTCAGTCAAATTTGAGAGTTATTGTTTTTCCCCTCTGGAATAATGAGATTACTTACACTAGTTGGGGTAACTTTGTACAAGTTCTTGATAATTAAATATAGTTTGGGTTTCCAATAAAAGATACTATATTTTTAAATCAAATCATTGCTATTTTATTTTTAAATAATGATGATGCTGGTGATTGGTTCTATTCTGCTTCCAGAATAAAAAGAATAAATATAATGCATGGGAGGAGGTAGCTCTTGGGTTCTAAAGCAGTACACTTCACGGTTCCTGCTTGCTCCAAGTTTCTTGTTCTATTTAGGAAAGCATAGTTTAGTTATAGTACTTGTCACCTTTTCTCTTTGGTTAGGGGAGTTCATCAAAGCCTTGTATGAATCAGATGAGAACTGTGAAGTGGATCCCAGCAAGTGTTCATCTAGTGAGCTGATAGACCATCAGAGCAACCTGAAAATGTGCTGTGAGTTGGCTTTCTGCAAGATCATCAATTCATACTGGTGAGCTTGTGTCCTTGCCACCTTTTCCATATGAACGTCACCACAAAGAAAAGACTTGAAGGAAATTGCAAGATTTCCCTCCCTTAGGCCTGTCTAAACTCTAACTCTTCATTGTGAGCAGGACTTCTGAACTCCTCTCTAAATAACCCTTCCCAACTGTTAGAACTGTACTTTCTAATACCTACAAGTAGAGTTGGAGGTGGTGGTGGGGTTATTTTGTTTTATTATTTATTATCTTTTTAATATTTGCTAGTTTGGAGCAGATGTGTTCATAAATTTTAATCTTTTGCTCTGCTGCAAACAAGTGGTGAGTTTGGGAAGATTTTTCATGAATAGCCTTTATGGATATTATGGTAAGCTATGTTAAACCAGGTAGTTTAGTAAGGAGCCTCAAGCTGTTTTTCCACTCAGCTAAACTAAATTTGTACTAATCCAAAACTTGTTACTTTCAGTTTCTAATCTCCACTTAGCCTTCTTTGACTATTCCACCTCCTGTCAGCTATGAGCCAGACTGACTCCCATCTCTGAGTGTCTAGTAGGCCCTCCTCCTAGCTCAGTTGTAGAACAGAGGCATCCTGGGTCAGAGGGGTCACTTTCATAGGTTATGGCACTTTATATTTAGAGGTTTTGGGGTTTTTTGTGTATATCTTCCCCCTTCTGTAGTGTCTTCCCTCGTGAGTTGAAAGAAGTGTTTGCATCATGGAAGCAGCAGTGCCTGAACCGAGGAAAGCAAGACATCAGTGAGCGGCTCATTAGTGCCTCACTGTTTCTCCGTTTCCTTTGCCCAGCCATTATGTCTCCCAGTCTTTTCAGCCTGATGCAGGAGTATCCTGATGACCGCACATCTCGGACTCTAACTCTTATTGCCAAGGTCATTCAGAACCTGGCCAACTTTGCCAAGTAGGTGAAACTACGCTAACCCTTTAAAAAACACCTGGCTTTAAAGAAACACATGAGTTTTTGGATGAGGCTGAGAACTGCATTCCCACTCCTACTAGATTTTTATTGCATTGTCAATAAAAATTTTAAAATAGAAACAAATATTAAATAATGCTGGTACAAACATTTAGTGAAATATTTATAACAACTGGAAATATTTATAAAAGATATCCAGTAATATGTAAATGGTGATAACTAAATTAAAATACTAATTAAAGATAGAATGACAAATGAGAACATATGCATTATTTTAGCAATATGAAACCAGTATAGGAATGAGAGTGATGGGAAAAGGCTAGTGGTATTCTTACATCGCATGCACTAGGTCCAGGTTCAATCCCAAGCATTCATCAAAAAAAGAAGTGTCATGAAAACAGGCAAATACTGTGGTTACATCATCTGTTGTAAATAGGTGGCCACTTTCTAACAGGTGGTTTTAAGAAAAATGCAGAAGATGTAAGGGTATTGTAGACAATCAAAAGAAACCAAATGCAATACTTGAAATTTATTGGTATTATAAGTTAGAAAAACAATCTGTAAAAAATTATTTGGGGGGTCAATCAAGATGATTCATCAGGTAAGGACACCATCTGTCAAACCTGACAACTTGAGTTTAATATTCCAAACCCACATGGTGGAAGGAAAAAACCAGCACCAACATGTTGACCTCTGACCTCCACATGTGCACCATGATGTGCAAACACCACCACCCCACACATACAAAATAAACTTTTATAAAGGTTGTTTTAGCTATTTGGGTACTGGAAAGACAGCTCAGTGGTTACAATCACTTGTAACTACTGCAGCGGATCCAAGTTTGGTTCTAACCACCCACATCAGGTAGCCCACAGCTGCCTGCAAATCTAGTTCCCAGGGAATCCATCACCTCTGCCATCAAGGGGCACCCACACTCACAATCACATATATACACATATAATTATCAAAATAATTTTTTATTATTTGGCAAAAACCAGTAGAATCTAATCATATGAGATGAATCATGAATAATGTTTTAAAATCTTTAATGTGAAAATGGCATTGATTTATATAAGATATTCCTTATTCTGAAAAAAATGGACTCTAAAATATTAGAGGGTAGTATCTGTAATTTAGTTTAAAATGATTCTAGATTTTAACAAAAGGATATATATCTGAAAAGCATATGAATGTTCATTATATATTCTTTTAGCTTTTCTGTAGGCTTAAATTTATTTTCCAAAGGAAGTTAGGAAGCCAAGAACAATGGCTTGCACCTTCAATCCCTGCACTCAGAAGGTAGAAACAGGTGGATCTTTGTGAGTCCAAGGCCAATCTAGTTTAGGCAAGCCAGCCAGTGAGACTTTCAGAGAGAGAGAGAGAGACAGAGAGAGAGAGAGAGAGAGAGAGAAGAAGAAGGACCAGGAAAGAATTCAGACTGCTAAAGTGATCAAGTGATCACAGGTATATTTAATATTGGGACAGACAAGCTTCTACCAACAATGTATGGAAGAAAAACTGCCAGTGAAACAGACCGTCTTCTCACATATCATTTTGTAATTTTTTAAAAATATTATTTATTTTATATGTATGGGTGTTTTGCTTATGTGTAAGCCTGTGTAGCACATGCATGCGTGGTGCCTATAGTGGCCCGAAGAGAGCATCAGATTCTCTAGGACTGGAGTTTAGAGACAGTTGCAAGCAACCATATAGGTGCTGGGAATAGAATCCAGGTCCTCTGGAAGAGCAGCTAGTGTTATTAATCGTTGGACCATCTCTCCAGCCCTCTAATAGAACTTTTTTGAAGTGGACCTTATAGCTAACACAGAAAAATTTGCCCATATTTGAGTTACTTCTAATAAAATTATTTGTAGGTTATACTGGGGCAGGTCTTATAGACTTAAAGTAGGATAACTAAAATAGATGGGCAGAAATTTCTTCTTTGGTGAAATAAAGACCATGAACAGAGACCTAGACAAAGTCCTCTCCCATACAGTCTCCTCTTGTGTAAGGACTGCAGTTCATGGTTTTAGTTACCCATGATCAACTGTGGTCCAAAAATATTAAATACAGCATTCAAACCATTATGAGTAGGAGATATCTCCTGATGTCTAACTAGCTCACTCCCACCCAGGATATCAGTCATCCATTTGTTCTCTGTATCCATGCAGTATATGCCACCTATGTTAATAGGCTCTTGGTTTTCAGATTAACTAATAATGTATCATAATGCTTGCATTCAAATAATCTTATATCACTTATTAATAGCCCCCCACACCCAAGTAGAAATTGTTATTCTAGCAATTTGGATGTGTTGAAGAGAAACTATAAAGTCCTTTTAAATTTGTTTTTGGGTTTTTTTGGGGGGGTTGTTTTAAGAGTACATTATAGGGCAAAATATAGAGAGTTCAATGATACCTGAAGTTTCAGGCATCCATTAGAGGTCTTTCAATATGAACCATGGGTAAGAAAGAGAATACTATGAAATATATTTGGAAACTAGAAATAAAAAAATAGCAAAATTGAAGATTGTATTGATTAGCATTTGGTAGATAACTAAGGATTATATTATGTGAAAATTTTGAAAACCAAAACAGGAATTTTTGTCTTTACTTTAGAGTTTTTTAACATGAGTTAAAGAAATACACAGCTCCCTAGGCCTGGATGTAGTGGGGGAGGGCCTTGGACCTCCCACAGGGCAGGGTTCCCTGCCCTCTCTCAAGCAGGTGTGGAGGAGCGGGAGGGGATTGGGAGGAGGGAAGGAAGTGTAAATATTTGAATGAAAAAAAAAGAATATTTTAGTAGTTAAAACTTTATCGTCACAAAATAAAAAGACATGATACCTCTTTGTAAGTCAACTCAAAATGTTAACATATTTTTTCTTGACTTATGTTCTTTTTTATTTTCTCACCTAACTCAGGTTTGGTAACAAAGAGGAATACATGGCATTCATGAATGACTTTTTAGAACATGAGTGGGGTGGAATGAAGCGGTTCCTTTTGGAGATCTCTAATCCAGACACCATCTCAAACACCCCAGGCTTTGATGGTTACATTGATCTGGGCAGAGAGCTGTCAGTTTTGCATTCCTTACTGTGGGAAGTGGTTTCCCAGCTTGATAAGGTAAAGTGGGGGAGTGGTGGGAATTGGGACATTCAGAACCTTAGTGTCCAGATTCTAGAGATCATCACGATGACAACAAACAGCCTTTCTGCTGGTGACAGCAGCCTTTTGTTCTAGACACCATCATTAAGTAGGTGATGTACACCAAAATTCTTGGAGAGCCACTGAATCATTAATATATGTTTAAACAATTACCTGAACTAATCAAATATTCTGTAGATTTATATATATGACAACTTGCCTAGAAACTATTATCAGATATTAGTATATGCATCTTTATCCATGTATAAGAAACTTCACCTGATAATTTCTAAAGACAAGATCTTTTTTAAAGTACAAGTTTAAAAAATATTGTTCATCATATTCAAGTTAATTTCACCATGGGGAAATTGTTCTTCCCGTTGTGTAAGTCAGGGTTGGATATAATTTTCAGCAGTATGAATCACATAGGATCTGAAAATACAGATCTACCAATGTGATTAAGAACACAAAAATAATCATTTTCTTATGGCAAATGAACTTTATTTCATTTTAACAACTAAGTGTAAAACATACCAATCATTTTCTTCATTCTGGATTTTGCAAAGAGGAATAGATTCTATAGTATAGAATAGTTCAGTAGTCAATGTTATTTTTCTGTAAGGATTTATTTTCCTTAAATTTTCTTATCTATAAAATGTTATTATCTAATAATGTATAGGAATAAACTTCTTAGTAAATTTTACTTTCTAGAAAAAATATAGTTGTCAGTATGCCCACTAGTACTTAAAATGTTTATAAAACAATAAACCTTTCTTGATCCTCAAGAACTACTTCTTTACTTTAAGAAATGCTGTGTAGATACTCAGTTGAAGTTACGTGGAAAGTAAATTCTTCTTATGTGACTCTTAGCTTAGCATTGTTGAGCAAGTAAAGGCATTCTTCAGATGACATTCATACCTACCCAAGCAGAGTGGAAGAGTGCCACTTACCTGGAGCATGGAGCTAAGTGTTAAAGCACCTGCCTGGCATGGGCATGAGAAGACCTTAGGTCTGAATGTCAGCAAGGAAAACACACAGTATAATATAATGATAGAGTACCTGCCTGGCATGAACAAGGGCCTGGGTTTGATTGCCAGATACACTGATCATTGAGAAGATAACAATCTAAGGGTATCCATGGCTGCTTATCCTAAACTGCATAGTGATTGAGGGATTCCATGAGAACTCATGAGGATAAGAATGCCATTAGGGGAAAAAAATGATTAAGATAAGATAAAACAATTATTTTAAAAGGTGTTTTTCAGATAGCTACATCAGTAAGATACGCATACAATTATTTTATGAAATAGGTCTAGTTTGTTCATGATCAAAGTCTTTTTTTTAACAGGTTTTTCTATGTGAACACACTTCTTCATTTTTAGTCTTTAGTCATGGGAACCAGGAGTATATCTAGACACATCTGAGAGGAGAGAAAACCCCCTGATTTTACTATTTTGGGCTGGTTTGGTTTTTAACAAAAGACTCAGTTGACAGTGAGTCAAGGTTCCCAAGATTGACTGGGATAGTGGATTGTACTGTGAACTGACTGCACATCCTGCAGTTCTCTGGGTCCCTGAGTGCAGCACCTTCCTGTATGTTGGCATGCATTGCTTTCCTCACATAATCCTTTTCCTTCAGAAGTTTCATCACACTGGCAGTCATCTGATCCCGAAGTTCCTTTGGTTAAAAGGTGTTTGGTTCTTCCCTTTCCCTCTCCATCTTGGTCTGGTAGTCACTCAAAGACTTAGTGTGCTTTGCATGCATATTTTAGTCGGAATGGCAATAGTTTGTTTGTTTGTTTTGAGCATGACTTTTAATTTTTATTTGCATAATCCTAATTTCTATTTCCTTTCTTTCCTCAATGTCTACTGCACCTTGTTCCGCCTCCTCCATTCATCTCGACGCCATGGTTCTGCTGCTCCATAACAATGCATTATGAACTTGCCACTCCCATGTACAATACCTACCCTCCCTCCAACCTACATCCTTCCATCAATGGGCATCATTGTCCCCAAAACATATGTTGTGGATGTCACAATGCTTATTGTCCAATTAGGGTGAAAATTCCTTCCTACAGGCAACTGTGGCAAAACTGGGGCCTCTCCCTCGTGTTCTTGCTGATATTACCAAGTCTCTGACTAATCCTACACCAATACAACAGCAGCTGAGACGCTTTGCTGAGCACAGCTCCAGTCCAAATGTCAGTGGAAGCCTCTCCTCTGGGCTGCAGAAGATATTTGAAGACCCCACTGACAGGTATGAAAGAGAGAATTTGAATGCTGCTCCTCAAACAGATAATGTTTAAATTTCACAGAACCTACTTACCTTATTTTTTTTTAAGTTTGCAACTTATAAGCAGTGAGCAAATAAAAAAAATCGTCTGAGATTAATCCAGTTGTTTGACACAATGCACAACAGCCAGTATTACTTTTTATAGTATAACATTTTATAGTATAAATATATACAGAGATCTGTCTGTCGTGTTTCATGGAAGATGAAGGGCTATTATAAAATTGATGTTTTTGTGTAATCTACTACTCCCTAGAACAGTGGTTCTCAACTTTCCTAATGCTGCAACCCTTTAATTCAGTTCCGCATGTTGTGATGACCCCCAATTGTAAAATAATTTTCTTGCTACTTTATAACTGTAATTTTGATACTGTTATGAATTGGAATGTAATTACCCGATATGCAAGATATCTGATAAGCAACCTCCAACGTGTTTAAGACCTACAAGTTAAGAACCACTGCCCTAGACCCTCAGTTAAAACCACTTTAGAGTTGTCTATGCCTGCTGAATAGGTGGATAAAATGTTGAACCCTCAACTTTGTGCTCTGAATTGGAATGATTTATGCCTTTAGCAATGAACAGATATTCTCTGAAGGTTAGGACAGAACTAAGTATGATTTAGGATATTTGAGAGAGTGTTCTAACTCATTAAAAACTGAAGACAGTGGTGGGAGGAATATTATTTCAACCTTTGGAAGAAAACTAGTAATGCTAGATTTTATTCTAAGGATTATAGTGATGAATGATGAAGTCTGAGTTTCTAAAGAAATGTAACTTCCTATTGGGCCTGTGAAACTTCAAAAGAGTCTTATGCCCAAACTGAAGAACTATTAATTATGTTGAATTTGCCTCAAGAGTAATTAAGGGGCCATTCCTTTTCCACAGTGATTTACATAAACTAAAATCTCCAAGCCAGGAGAATACAGACAGCTATTTCAGAGGGAAAACATTATTGTTGGTTCAGCAAGCCTCCTCCCAGAGCATGACTTACTCTGAAAAGGATGAAAAGGAAAACAGCCTTCCTAATGGCCGGAGCATCTCCCTCATGGACCTCCAGGACACTCATGCTGCTCAGGTGGAGCATGCATCTGTCATGCTTGATGTGCCTATGCGCCTCGCAGGAAGCCAGCTTTCTATAACCCAGGTGGCTAGCATCAAACAACTTCGGGAAGCCCAAAGCACTCCCCAGAGTGCACCTCAAGTGAGAAGACCCCTGCACCCAGCCTTGAACCAGCCAGGAAGTCTCCAGCCCTTGTCATTCCAGAACCCTGTTTATCACCTCAACAACCCAGTTCCAACAATGCCAAAGGCCTCTGTAGATTCTAGTTTGGAGAACCTAAGCACTGCCAGTTCTAGAAGCCAAAGCAATAGTGAAGACTTCAAACTCAGTGGACCCAGCAATAGCAGCATGGAAGATTTCACCAAAAGAAGCTCGCACAGTGAAGACTTCTCCAGGCGGCACACTGTACCAGACAGACACATACCTCTTGCTCTGCCTCGACAAAATAGTACTGGGCAGTCCCAAATCCGAAAAATGGACCAGGCTGGGTTAGGTGCCCGAGCCAAAGCTCCTCCATCCCTTCCACACAGTGCTTCCTTACGTAGCACAGGGAGCATGTCAGTGGCATCTGCAGCCCTAGTGGCTGAACCTGTGCAGAATGGAAGCCGATCCAGGCAGCAGTCCTCTTCCTCCAGAGAGAGCCCTGTTCCCAAAGTGAGAGCAATCCAGAGACAACAGACACAGCAGGTAGAGTATGCTACATGGCTTTGGCTTCTGCTTGGATGAACAACTGGGTTGTTTCTTTATATATAAAGTGTCCAGAAATCAAATTGAAAACAAGGTTTCCACTTAAGAATATTTCTGTAACTTTTAAATGGAAGAAAGAAATGGAAAGATTTGGAAGGTTCTAACTAGGTAAGAGCAGAACAGGGCTTGACTTGTTACCCTTAGGAGACTAACAAACACCCAAGAGGCATTTCTTTTCCATGAGGAACAGAGCTGCTTCTTCAGGGTATGTTTAGAGCAGTACTACGGCATTGGGCAAATAATTACACAGCTATATAGAAGATCTCCAGTCAAATCAACTGTATTTAGGGAATATGGAAATTGAACCTTCTTAATTTTTCCTTAAACTTCCAGAATAAAGTTTTCCATTCTGAGCTTACAATTTAATATAAATGCCCTTCACTTCATCCCCCAACTCCCTGTGGAAATGTCAAGTCCCGTGTGCCTTTTCCTGGAATTAGCTCAAAAGATAAACAACTGAACACCTAGAGAGACAAGGTAAAGAGGAAAAAATACAGAAATACAGATGGTTGATAACTACTTGAAATATTTGCACATCCCTTATATTACTACATACATGGACAAGTCCAGCTGATATCACACCAGTCCTGATACATTTTGAAATTTTATTTGCCCAGAGTGCAGATGTATGATATTTTGAATTATGTGTGACATTTTTAATAATTTATCTTATTTTGCCCTTAGATATAAGCTAATAACTTTAGAGGTCTCTCTTCCTCCACCCCCCCCATGTTTGTTTCTTCTAAAAGAGTTTATTTTCTAAAAAATTTGTAATTTGTATTTGTGGAATTTTTAATATATATTTTATTATTTATTTACTTAGTTTTGGAGGCAGGTCTCACTAAGTAACCCTGAATGACCTTGAACTCACTGAAATCAGCCTACCTTTGCCTCCTGAGCACTGAGATTATAGCTTTGCACCACTTTGCCTGGCTTGAATATTTTTATTCTTTGAGAACTTGCATATATATAATGTATTTTGATCAACTCCATTCCCATTCCTTCCCCTCCAGCTTCTCCCTGTCCTCCAACACCACTTTTCTATCCCAGTCCCGTGTGTTCATGCTCTCAAAAACAAAACATTTGAGTCCTCTTAGGTATAGGACTACATATTGGAGCATGGATAGTTTTTCAAGAGCCCCATCCCTAAAGACAACTTACTTTCCCTTCCCCAGAAACAATCAGGTGCCAGTGGCATCTCAGCTAGTTGTAGAACTTAGTGATCCCTTCACCGGCTATGTTGGGATTTAGACTGGCTTAATCGTGTACATGTAGTGACAGCTGCTATGAGTTAATGTATGTATGGTTCTGTCATGTCCAGCAAATAATGTTTCACAAAATCAGCTACATCTTTTTGTTATATTCTTTCTGCTCCGCTCTTCACTGATGATCCCTGAGCCTTGAAGTGGGGGAGATGTGTGTATTGATGTCTCATTTAGAGCTAAGCACTTCAGAGTCTTTATTCTCTACACACTGGCCAGTTGTGGTTCTATATTAATCACCATCTACTACAGAAAGAAGCTTCTCTCATTAGGGTTGGTATAAAGATAAGAAATTAAGGGTGTCAGTTTCATACTGTGTTTATTTTGCAGGATAATATTAAGTTGTCCTTTAAGAACTATTGCCTAACCAGTGATGGGATTTGGGCCCAGTTAATACTACCAGGCATGAGTTCTGTCTATGTAACAGGCTTTAAATCCTAAGACTTTAGTTGCTCTTTAGACATACCTTTTTTAAATAATGTTCATTGGTGTTTTATAATGTTCATTAGTATTCTGCCTGCATATATACCAGTGTGAGGGTGTCAGGTCCCCTAGAACTGGAGCTACAGACAGTTGTGAGATGTGATGTGAGTGCTGGGAACTGAACCAGGGTCCTCTGGAAGAACAGTCAGTGCTCTTAACCACTGAGCCATCTCTCTAGCCCTAGACATGTCTTGCCAAACCAGTTGTTATTGTAGATCATAGGGTTCACGGTTGGGAAGACTGTTGATTCCCCCCTTCCCCCCAGTAGCATGCATAGAGCCTTCCAGAACTATGAGAACTAGTCAGTGGGGATGAAGCTTCCAGGTCAGTAGCAGCTCAACTGTCTTCAGTAATAGGGTCATCTTTCAAGGTCTCAAGGGAAGCCAAGAGCAATGGCTATAGCCTCTAATGTTTGCCTGGGGTCTATGGGGTCCTGCTGACCAACATTTCAAAACAAGGTAACCTGACTTAGCATTTACCCTTTTATTTGATTGCTTATGGTGTCTGGTGCCTGAGTGAGGCATACCCTTCTCTCCCCAATGTACTTCCCTTATTGAGTAATTCCATTTAAATTCCTTATATAAATGAATGTGTGTGTGTGTGTGTGTGTGTGTGTGTGTGTGTGTGTGTGTGTGTGT